ATTAACATTTTATCATTACAATATTTTCAGCTACATATATTAGCTTGTCTTCTTAACATTTTTGCAAATAGGTTGCTGTTATCTCTGTTCATAAAGAATTCTATTTCCATTGATTACACCATCATCCTCTCAACTTAACAAATTCCTTACACTCTGATTCAATTATTATATATGAAGCCTACTATATATGAAAGCACTATCTTAGGTCCTAAGACATAAAAATGAAATATGACAAATTCTCCCTCCAAGTTGTCTATAATATATTTGGGTGTAGGGTAAGGATTAGACACATTCCAAATAACCATAGTACAATGCAGATGTGAGAAGTTAAACCAACGTCCAAACAAAAATTTGAAGAGAGGTCACTGCCACCTAAAAAGATAAGGAAAAGTTTCATGGAGAAAATAACTCCTGAACTAGGTCTTGAAGGGGAGAGAAGTTTTAGCAAGAGGAGACGGTGGCAAGACTATTCTATGTATATGGAATAGTCCAAGCAAAAAGATAGCTGTATCTCAGATTCATGTTTGTATGGATGAAAGACGTAGCTACTATTTACATGATTTCTATTTATTTCACTACTTCATGAAATTAATCCTTAATATGTGATTTTTATATCTTGTTTCTCTCACTTACTTAGATCCTGGTGTGAATGTGGCCACCATTTTCAGAATGACCTCCCCACAGGCTGTTCTGAAGTCACAGACTGTCTGCACAGTCACAAGGAGATCAAAGGAAAAGGATGTTGATGGTTTGAAGTAAACCTATCACCACTTCCAGAATATCAGCTCAAAACACATACAGTTTCATTTTCATATATGAAGGACTGCATGTTTGTTACATAATTGAAAATAACTTTAGAAAAACAACTTTAGATCTCTGTGTCTGTATATTATATGAAGTAATCATAGTAGCATAGGAATAAACTTTAGAAGCCAATTCCTTCATTTTACAAATAAGGAAACTAGGCCTATAGGAGAGAAATGACATGACCACAACTACAAAACTCACAGCAGAGCTAGAATGCAAACTCAGGTATAAGTTCAAGGCTGCCTCTGCAATTATATGGCTACTTTATTCCAACTTATAGATTTAAACCTTTCAAAGTTGAGAAATCTGAAGTTAAGATAATCCCCCAAAAACATTAATTTATTTTTATCATCATATACCACATAGACCATTATAAGTATATTACATGTTAACAAAAATACAAATATACGTAATCATAAAAATCTCAACATGGGATTCCACAATTCATGAAATACAATCCAAAAAATGCAAATTATATTAACTGTTTAGGATATTTGATATTTTAAAATATACCATAAATGGCAACTAGTTAATAACAGTACCTAACATTTATATAACACTACATGCCAGATATGGCGCTGAACATTTTATAACTGTTCTTTTATATTCACAACATCATGAGAAGGTAAATACTATCAACATCCCCATTTTACAAATGAGAAAACTGAGGTTAAGTGACTTGCTCAAGGTCACACAATTAATAAGTACCTGAGGCCCAATTTGAACTTGGATTGTCCTGACTATCCACTACACCACCTAGCCACCCATAAAAATTTCAACATGGGATTCTAAAGTTTATGAAATCTAATATAAAAAATTAAAATAACATTAGCTCTCTAGGGTATCTGATTTTTTTTTTGACACACCGTAGATAACAATTAGTTATTGCCATCAAACTAATGTTAGCTAGGAAAACTGCAAAGCAATTATAAGAGTAACTAACATGAAATAAATGTTCATTCTTACAATATTCCCCTGAGTGTACTAATGCTATAATTGGAACACAATAGCAATTAAGATTGTGTGTGTGTGTATGTAGTCAAAAGATATACATCTCTATATATACATATGTATCTATATATTGAGATAATATAAATATATTCTGGGTACTTTGGAACTTTTTATTATTGTGATGTGAAAGTTTTTATTTGTAATTGCTGAATTTGATATATTGACACATACCCCCCGCAAAAAAAGGCTCTTAAAATCTAAAAGACAAATATGTACTTTAGAATCAGTATTCACTTTTGACTAAAGTTCAGCTAGCCATACAGTTCAAAAAGACTTGTGACAGACACTAAGAAGTTCTAATGAAAGTAAGTGGCTTTGCTACAAACAAATCTATGAGCTATTAGGGTATGGGAGGAGGCACCAGAGTACTATGGGAAAACACTGCCCGGGAGTGAGTATGAGATCCAGTTCCTGTAGCTATATGATTAAAACAAATCACTCTACCTGTGTGGATTTCAATCTCCTCACCAATAACACAACCAGACTACCAATAAGGTGCCTTCCAGGTCTAAAACTTCATGATTCTGTTATTATTCATGTGGTTATTAAGAATACTGCCATCACCTTGCTCAACATGTTCAAATGCCATCTTCTTCCTGAAACTTGGCTTTCCCCTTACCTTTTCTATTTCCATGGATAACACCACCATCCTCCCAATTGATCTCAACAAATATTTATAAAATACCTGAACCAGGCACCAGAGATTCAAGGATGCACAGAAACACAATGCATGCCCTCAGGGAGATTATGATCAACTTCTTGGTAAATATATCCTTTAACTCTTTCTTCATTGGAGAATGAGAGGGAGAGGGATAGAGAAAGAAAAAGGAGAAGCAGAAGGAGAGGGAGAAAAAAAGGGAGAGAGAGAATGTAAGAGATTGACAGGACCTTTGATCTAATTGATACAGAGAGCTCCCAGTGAGGAACATTAACTGGTTGGGCAAGGTCAACTATTTCTCCCCTCAGAGCTCTGTGAGGTAACCCTAGTAAGTTTTCTGGCACCATCATTCATATCCGTCTGTGTGCTCCTCAGTGATTATCAATTAGCCAGTCAGGGTCAATTAGCTTCTAGAAACTGGTATTTATTAAAGTGGCGAAATAAAAACAGTTGGTACAAAACAATCTCTCAAAGGTCCGAGATATTCTCAGACAATTACACACAGGTGAGGAAGTAGACTCAAGCTTAGAGAGCTCCTTTGCCCAAGGCGGGCGGCTAGATGGCACCATAATCCATAGAGTGCCAGGCCTGAAGTCAAGGAGACATCTTCCTGAGTTCAAATCTAACTCAGACACTTATTAGCTGTGTGACCCTGGGCAAGTCACTTCACCCCATTTGCCTGGGTTCCTCATCTGTAAATGAGTTGGAGAAGGAAATGTCAAACCCCTCTAGTATCTTGGTCAAGAAAATCCCAAATGGGGTCACAAAGAGTCAGACACAGCTAAAATGACTGAACAACAAAATGTCCAAGGGGGTAACTCTCAGCTCTCATTTATTAGAAATCCTTTTCTTCCCTTGAGGAGCCCTCATTCTTCCCTTAGATATAGCTTTCTGCTGGTCTCTGATGGTCAGTGCCGTAAGTTGCCTTCCCTGGGTGGATTTCTTTGTTCTCAGTGTGTGTCCCCTGCCATCAGTCACTGCTGCTAAAGGTACACTGTTACCAATGGGAAGTTCAGATCTTCTGACCTTTCTTCTAGATGCATAAGATTGTCCTTTGGGAGAAAAGGAAAGAAAGAGGGAGAGAGACAGAGACAGAGACACAGAGACAGAGACAGAGAAACAGAAAGGCAGAAGAGAGAGACAGACAGAGACAAAGGGAGACAGAGACACAGAGACAAAGACACAGAGACAGAGACACAGAGACAGAGACAGAGAAACATAAAGACAGAAGAGACAGACAGAGACAAAGGGAGAGAGACAGAGACAGAGACAGAGAGAGACCGAGCTAGAGCTCACACAATCCTCTTTTCTAGGGCAGTTCCCTTCACTACCACTCAATTCATGCCCTCGAGGAATACTGGAATATACAAAGGCCCTGAGGTATCTGTTTTTGCTTTTGTTTTGGTTTTCAAAGAAGCCCCACATCCCGTGTGTCATATCATCTGATTTTATCCAATGATAAAGCACAAACTCCCACTTTATTTATACCTTTGATTGACTGAATCAATAAAAAAACTCTGGTCCCTCTGAATCATAAGTAAGGGTTTTCATCTCTACCCTTAGATATTGCAGACATTCCCAAAAATCTTAGTTATTAAAACTTAAAACTGCACTAAGACTTCTGGAACACTCTGTATTTGTGTTAGTGCACGATATTTTTTGGATACCAGACTTTTATCAGACATATTCAATGCAAATATTTTTTCTTAATTGAAAACTCCCCTTTCTATACTTGCTTCATTAACTTTGTTCTTACTTTTGTATAGTAGAAATTGTTTATTTTCTCTTTTATGATCACTTCTATTATTTAGCTAAGAATTCCTGAACATTCTCCTTATGCTCCTCTAATTGCTTTTATAATATGACCTTTCTTATTTAAATTGTTTTTGCACTTGAAACTTATTGTGGTAGATGGTGTAATATGCTGGTCTAAACCTTTTTTTTTTTTTTTTTGCAAAAATAAGCTCCAATTCTTATCAAATAAGGGATGCTTTCTGTCAGCAGTTAACACTTTGGGATTTATTGAACACTGTTATTACTGATTTAAATTACATCTGACTCTTGCTTAACTACTGTGTTCACCAATTTTTTTAGCTAAATAGTTTTGATGATTACTGCCATATAATTTGAAGTCTGAAAGTGCTAAATTTTTATCACTCTTACCTTATTTTTTATTATTTCCTTAGATATTTTAGACCTCTTAAAATAAATTTTCTTATTTTTTGGTCTAATTCTCTATAGAAAAACCCTTTGTAGGGGGCAGCTAGGTGGTGCAGTGGATAGAGTACAGGCCCTGGATTCAGGAGGACCTGAGTTCAAATCCGATCTCCGACACATAACACTTACTAGCTGTGTGACCCTGGGCAAGTCACTTAACCCCATTGCCCAAAAAGAAAAAAGAAAAATCCTTTGTGGTAAATATGTAAATTAATTCAGGTGGTTACCATCATTTCTTTTATATTGGCATGGCCCAATTATAATCAATGTCTTTCTCTGTCTTCTGTCTTCCTATATTTCTGTAAAGAAAAATGTGAAATGCTCCAAAAACTTGTGACATCCTTACTTAGAAGCCATGCTAATCTTCTCTCCATTATTTCAATTTTAAAATAGGTACCACCAAAGCAAAAACTCCAGCCTTATAAAAGCAAATTCTTTGAAGGTGGAATCTAATTGTTACTCAAATCTTTTTATCCCTAGAACCTAGCCCAGTTCTTTATACATACAAGGCATGTATGTTTGGTGAGTTTTAGTATGATTAAATGGGAAGAACAGTGTGTGGTGGCAAACAAAAAATGTAAACATAGTGGATGCCCCTCAATTCATGAATGGCTGAACCAACTTCAATTCATGAATATAGTAGAATACTATTGCATTGGATGTAAATAAGAATGAGGAAAGGGGGGAAAGCAAGGTAACAACCATTTGTAAGGCAACAGTATTTATTACATACTTAATATGTGCCAGGCACTGACTGTGCTAAGCACTGGCAATACAAATCCAAGCAAGAAGACAGTCCTTACCCTCAAGGAGCTTACATTCTAATGGTGGGAGATAACACGCCAAAGGGAGCTGAAAAGTGGGAGGCAGGAGACAAGGGAGGCAGGAGACAAGGTACACCAGTGGAGATGTAGTGTCAAAGTCCAAAGTCAGAAGCAGAACCATGAAGGGAATTAAGGTTAGTTGATCTGGGACCCTTCACAAAATGGAGTCCCCAGGAAGAACTCACCAATGGGAGAAAGACTTGGCATAGTGGAGGGATGTTCCAGGGTGAAGAAGCCCCAGATGTTGAGGGAAGTTCTAGGGGAAGACTGTACCTGAGGCACAGTCCAGAAAATCAGAAGCAGAGACAGGAGGGAAGAATCATGGAAAGATCTGTATATAAAGTCTCCAAATGTCAACTGAATATGCCCCCCCCCCTTTTTAATTCTATTTCTTATTTCAGAGATGCTTTTAAAAAATTTAGAATCAGATAATTTTTAATAACCTACTATGCAGAGGATCAAATCACATCTTTTAATAACTAAAAGACTAGTCTCCATCTATTTCCATATCATAAGACAACTTTGAAATAAGCATAACTTCCAGATTTTTCCATCTAGTGCTTTGTAATAATATTTTTTTAAAAAAAAGCTGAACTCCAAATAATGAAAAAACCAATGAAGTCCTGGAGAAGAGATAAGGAAATACACTTCTTTCCTCACAGTGAAGGGCAAAATACTGTATATGTTGTCACCTAAGATTTTTGTATCAGATATTTTTGTTTAATTGTTTTTGTCATGGAGGAGAGTTCAATGGGTGTGGGGGAAGGGGAGTTTAACTACAGTGATTTAAAGAAAAAAAGCATCAATAAAATCATTTTTAAAAAAGAAATTTAGAGATTTCAAAATGAGAAGGAAACTTTGTTATTATGTATTTATTTGTCTATTTCTATAGCCAGGCAACCCTCTGCATCAGCAGCAGCCTCTGCTCATAGATTTCATCTCTAGGCCTTTTTATAAGCCATCTCACAAGGCTTTATAATATCTCACCTTTTCCAATCCAACAATGTACCCTTTACTGTTCAGAAGCCCTGGTATGGCAGAAAGGGTGTGGAATAAGGAGTCAGGAGACCTGAATCCTAATCCTGGCTCTGCCATGTTCTATTTATGTAATTAAGGTGAGTCATAATAAAAATAAAAGAAAGGAAAAGAAAAGAAAAGAAAAAAAATCCTCAGTTTAATAGGGATTGAAATCATAACATTTCAGAGTTGCCATGGATCTCAATGAACATCTAGTCCAATTCATACCTTAAAATGAATTCCTTCTCCAACACAGCTAACAAATGGTCATCTAGACTTTTCTCAAAGATTGCCAATGAAGGGAAATTCACTACCTAATGAGGGAGCTCATTCCACTTTTGGAGAATCCTAATTGTTAGGAGGTGTTTCCACATAGTAAGGTTAGATCTGTGTCAATGATTTCCACTCATGGCTCCTAGTTCTGCTCTCTGGGCCCAAGCAAAAGAACTCTATTGTTCCTTCTGGCAATGACCCTTCAAATACTGGAAGAAAGCAATTATGCCCTATCCCACCCCCACCATAAAATGGCTATTCTCCAGGTTTAACATCCCTAGTTCTTTCAAGTCATCCTTGTGTAGCAGGAGACCCTTTCCCATTCTGGTTATCTTCTTCCGGGCATGCTCTAACTTGATTCCCTTCCTAAAATATGGTGCTTCAAACTGAACACAGTACTCCAGAGGTGGTCAGACAAGGGCAGAGGACAGCAAGATACTTGTTCCTGGTTGCTTTGTTTTGGTTTTTTTTTTTTTTTTTTTTAGTTCAGCTTGGGGTAGAATTACAGTTATCCATTCCATATTGAGGGGGTTAGGGGTATGGCACCCCCCCCATGATCTGGAAAATTGAAGTAAAATGTTTTGGCCCTCCCTTGTTACCAGAGAAAAAATCTGAATTATTAGGACACTAAAAGACAAAATATTTTGATATTATACAATACTATACATATTTTTTAATTTCTTGAATATTTCTGAATTTCTAAACTTTTTCTATGTGATCTGCTGGTCTTTGTGTGTCATTTGCATGTCATTCTGCAAAACTCCCCAAAAATTCCCATTTAATTTCTTATGCCAACCCTCGATGTATCGAAATTTCGATGGGGAAAATCGCGATGTGAAAGGGATAACTGTAGTTTCTTTGACTGCTGTCACACTGTTAATCATATTGAGTGTGCAATATACCTTAAAAAAAAACTCAGACCTTTTTTTTTAGATGAACTGCTTCTAGCCACACCTTCCTCATTTTGAATTTACAAAGTTATTTTTTTAATGAAAGACTTTTAATGTTTTTCTCATTTAATTTTCATCTTGTTCAGTTTAGCCCGATGTTCAATATAAACTGTCAAGGTCTTTTTGGATCTTGACTCTATGGGATCATAATATCATAGATCTCGAGTTAGAAGGAACCCTGGAGGTCATCTAGTCCAATGGTCTCATTTTACAGACGAGTAATTGAGTCCTAGAAACAGTAAATAACTCTAGATTAAATGACTTGCCCAAGGTTACACAGGTAGAATAACAAACCGAACAAGGATTCAAATTCAGATATTCTGATGCCAAATTGAGGCCTCTTTCTATTGTTGCCTCCCACCATGCCTACCCAGGAGGGCCAAACAGAGATTCTTGGGGCGCTCCATTGGAGACTTTCTTCCAAGTTGACCTTGAACAATTAATGATTACTCATTGGGTCCAGTCGGTCAACTAGCTCCAAATCTAGCTCATTTTGGCCACCTCTAACCATCCTTTTGACAAGAAGAGAATGAGGGACTTTATCAAATGCTCAGTTAAAATCTATGTAAATTGTATTACAGTATCCCTCTGAGCATCTCTACCTTATGATGGCAATTATCATTTTCCTATTCACCTCGGCAGTGATCCTATTCCTTTTTTGCTTCTCCTTTTTTCTGTAACAGTTAAAGAAAATTCGTTGTCTTCCTTAGCTTTCCTTTCCAGCCTCACCTCCTTCTGAGAAGTAGCAATGTAGACACTATTCTTACAAAACCATAATAATAATCCCTGCATTGCCTAACCCGTGGTGTCCTTATAAAGATGAAATGAGACAATGCGTGTGAAAGTACATTGTAAACTCAAAGTTCTATATAGAAGGAAGACAGCATTATTCTTTTCCCCTGATTAATCAACAGAAGCAGCCTGAGGCTTTAACTCTCATATGATTCTATAGCTGCCTGCCTCCCACAACGAATAAGAATGTGTTACACTCGAAAAGAGGACAAAAAGAAAAAGCTGAAGACACAAGGACAATTCAACGATATAAAATTCCTTCCATTATTTTCCTTTTGATCAATTAGCCATTTTTCTCATTTGAAAATACTGTAACCTGCCTGAGGGCAAGAACTCTATCTACTCATTTGATATCTTAATAAAGATAGGAAACTAAAAATAATTCTATCAGACCAAAACAATTCTATGAACATTATTCTATGCTCAATGATGCTCAATAAATGTTTTACTGGCAATGAATAGATTTGATCATAGTCAAATACTATTGAAAATGCTTCTATTTTAAGCATATTGATCACATTATCACACATTTAAAAATAACAATAATAAAGAGTCTTGATAATAAATAATAATAGCCAACCTTTATGAAGCCCTTTGAGATTTATATACATGATCCCACAGGGTTGTCATAACAACAATGAAGTAGGTAACTGGAGGTGTTATTTCACCCATTATACAGATGAGGAAATGGAAGGTTAAAGAGATTAAGTGGACTGCATATAATCATATCGCCCTTAAGTGTTAGGCAAGAGCTCCAAATCCAGTCACTCCTGCCTCCAGATGTAATACCCTTTCCACTATCCTGTACTGCCTCCTATAGATGTATCCATTTATCTTAAGTCAGACTTAATTAAGTCCATTTTAAAAATGAAGGGTTTTCTTATTTTTATTCCCAGGTTTTCATTACAGGGACATACCATGAGCACACCAAGGTAATTTAGGTGGCAGCTTGTAGGTAATTCTTTGATGTCTGAGAGAAAACAGTACATTTGTGAACTTCTTGAGAGCAGGCACTGTTTAGGGGTGTGCGTGTGTGTGTGTGTGTGTGTGTGTGTGTGTGTGTTTGTGTGTGTGTGTTTACCTTTCCTTGTATCCCCAGCACTTAGCATAGTGTCTGGCACATAGTATGGTGCTTAATAAATGCTTATTGACTGAATTGTTCATCCATATCCAATAGACTTTTTTCTCCTTTGTTTTGAAACCACTCCCACACCCCATTACATTTAAAGAGATCTCCCTTTCACCCTTATCCTCTCTTTCTTTAATGTTTTCAATTTCTCCTCCATTACTTTGAAATATGAATATGGCCTTATCTTCAAAAACAACAAACCTTTCAGGGGCAACCAGGTGGCATAGTGGATAGAGCTCTGGGTTTGGAGTCAGGAGGACCTGAGTTCAAATCTGACCTCAGATACTTGACGCTTACTAGCTGTGTGACCCTGGGTGAGTCATTTAACCCTGATTGCCTTGCCAAAAAAAAAAAAAGTCCCTTTCATTAACCTCACTGTCTTCCTTAGCTTTGTGTTGTTGTTGACAACTTTCCGAGATCCCATTTT